GCTATAATTGCTTTCAACTACCTATACCTTAGATTCCATTTAGATTCAGCTAAAGGTGACTCAAAACAGTTTTGCACAGGCTGCTACTGGTGTTGAGTATCATAGCTCCAACCAAGTGGGTGGAATGGGAACATTAAAAGTTAATTAAAATCTTATCTGAGGAGCTGCATGGCTTCTAGCCTCAGTATAACTGCTAGCTGATAACTCCTATATGCATGCTGGTTCACTTTCAGGACTAATTATAGTGAAAGAAATTGGCAAAAAGAGACTGTGTAAAAGACTGCCATATTTTTCAAATTATTTTCCKAATTGTCTTTTTTCATTAAAAACCTCTACATGTTAGCATTGTTTTGCTGAAAATAGCTGTATTTAAAATAGCTTCAAATAATGTCAATGAAGCATTGTTTTAATTTTGCCTCCAGGAAAAACAAAACAAAGTAGTATTATAAATTATCCTCTATTTAAAACCACTGCCGTCAYACTAGTAATTTTTTCCCTTTATCTGTGGGCTGACAAAATTCTTTCTCCCTTTCCCTTCCAACAGTATTATGTGAGCATGACAGCACAACAAATCGAAACTTCCGCTAAGCACTTTGCCCAAAACATGGAAAAACTGCTCTTGTTCCTATTGCAACTGCATGTCTTTYCTGGGTATGACACATAAAAATAGGTAATGTCAAAATAAGCCTGCTACATTAAGAACAGTTACAGATGTGGAGGTGTCTKCCTGGGACTTAAAGCTCAGATCCTGAGTACTAACAGTCATTAAAGATATTTTTACAGTTTTTTTGTAAAGCGGGAATGTTAGCACTAATCACAAGACCACCATACAAATTTGACATCTTGATATCTCCCTAATTTCTTCTTACTATTTAATTTAAYTCTAGTATTTATTACTTTATTTKTCTTTAAATTGTTCTTTTGTGTTTCTGCTTTGCTGTTACAGGTGGCTTAGAATAGAAGAAATAATTGTGTTGTAATATGCTCTTCTCTATTTTAAACCCAAATTCCTTTTTCTCTATCCCCATTTTTACAACTCCCAGGCATATGAAGTATTACTTCCTCTCTCTCGCTTGTTCCCTGAAAAGTTCCATGAAGGATGCATAAGAATGGCTGAGAAAAGTTTTCACCACACAATTGAAGGAAACAGGAAATGTTGAATCCTTAGCAGGTGTCTCTGCTGAAAGTAATTATTAGGATAAATACTTTTAAATAAGGAAAATTGGTATTTAAATAGGATCAAATATTTGTAAATATTTCTGTTTTATTCCCTTTGTATATTTATGCCATATGCCTGCTGAAACTTCCATGAAGTCTTCTAGGAAAAAGATGGATTGAAATGCATCTTCCAGGGGAAAGATGTAAGTAAGAAAATAATCAGCCTATGTTTATATATAACAAGAAGACATCAATTCTTTTGTTACTTTTTTATGAATAATCTTTTAAACAATGTCAATCTTCTTTTCCACTGTGACCTGCATCTTAAACACAGATAAAGTACAGCATTATATCATACGTTAAATGTCACATTTCATGTGAAAACACTTAAACACAGGGCACCATAAATAGCATCAGCACACAGCTGACTGTGGCTTTCCAAAAAGTAACCTTTCTCTTAATGACTATTCAGGTAAGTAGCTGGTTCCTTTTTGTGTTCACAAGACAGCTGCTGCTTAGAGCATCCGAAGCAGAAAAAAAGGCAGGGTTAGCAAAAGACCTTTTTTTTTTAAAGTATCAGTAGTTTTTAGTGACTGACTATCCAGAGTTCATTCAGGGACATTGTTTTAAAAACCTAGCAAGCCTACAAAAAATCATGTTACGGCACTTTTGGAAATAATAARCCAGTGTCAGATCTCAAAACTCCTTACTACAAATTCCAAATATCAAAGCTCTTTCTAAATTCTTGTCCTCTCCCATTCCTGCATTCAGAATTGTCCCAAGCTGGCAGCACTCTTCGTTCTTTTAGAGAAGTCCCTTCATGCACACTTTTTCTAGACTGTATCCCTGCCAGATGCAATATTTGTAACAGGTAAACTGAATTTTAAAAAAGAAGAGGTCATGTATTTTCATAACGTATAAGTCAAAAGGCTGTGGAATTGACCCCAATACTGAAGCCTGTCTCTCTGGTTACAATCTGTGAGATTTGAGACAGGGGATGTCTGCAGAAAGGTCCCTGCAGGAGCCAAAGGGCACATTCATACTGCAGCGAGACCATTCCCCAAAGCTTTAATGGTTTTTCATATCACTTCTCCCTCAGAGAAAGCTTCACCCCAAAGAAATCCAACCTATCCCAGCACCTGGAAAGGCAACACAGTGGTAGYGTAATACTGACATCCAATGGATGAAAAAATGAAATTTCAATGTCAAACTTGTTCCCATTTTTGGATAGGATTGGCCAGGAAGAACTATTTTGTTCCTAAGCATTTGAACTTTATAAGAATCAGAAACTAGTCTAGGAGCTGTAATTCCTTCCAAATCACAGGTGAAGCTGGGTGGGAACTCCCGAGTTACCCGTTATAACTGCAGACAAACCAACAAAATCTGCTTGCTCTCTACAGTTCAAATTTGTTCCGTAGTGTGAAACTACAGGGACAATGGAGAGTGCTATCTTTTGTTCCTCTGAAAAGAAAATATCTGGTTCCCTAGGCTTATGCAATAAATCARTATCAAAATAAACCAAAATAAATAAATTTATTCATCTGCTACAAGCACACTAAAGCCCTGAGCAAAACATAGGAAGGGACATGCACAAAAGAACACCAGTAAGAGAAATGAGAATTTTAAAGAGGGAAAATTTTTTATTTATGGCAAAGACCAGACCAKCATCTTGGACAGATCCTTCTCTCCCAAAGCGTGCAGCCTGTACTGTTAATGTATTAGTGATTTCTATTTACAACATGAAAAATACATATGGATATGGACATAATACAGACAGTTCCCACACGTTGAATAAACAATGAGGAAGAGARGCAAAGAGTATCCAGCAGTTGTACTAGTAATTCGTATTGATTTATACGGAGCCTTTTGTATTCCTCACAGCACTAAAGTAACAAGTATGTACATATCTAGTATGAAGTCTTATTCATATTAATGGGGCTCTTTCCCCACCARTCAATGTGGGGAAAAAATCAATTACCATTACTGAATGGAGAAGCYATAAAAAGATCCACTGCTCTTTACTGACTTGTGGTAGCCTGAGTTTGCATGGATCTCGTCTGCTCTCTCTGCCACCTGCACACATGGCTTTGCTGTGCTGGCAGCTGTCCCTCCTGCTAGTGACAAACCTGTGAAGAGCTCTGTGGCTCTTCCAAGACAAAGCATTTTTTCACTGAACACCCACAGACCTGTTCACTAACGTGACAGGCACATCGCGTYTCTAGAGTTCCCTCTTCAGCACCAAAACGGTACTTCCAGCTGCTCCACTGTTCTGCTGATCAGGTTGTAACAGGATTCTCCGAAGGAGATCAAATGGAAACATTGCACTGGCATGCGGCCCTGGGTGAGGTCCAATAGTGACACTCATCAGTGGAACAGCAGCCTTCAAACAGACTGGACAATAAGGACAATGATAACGAGCACAGAAATTAGGTATGAGCAAKGATAACCTCTTGCTCCTAGTTTATCCCCCACGTGCCTCTGTTATCCATGTATTCCCCCCAGTGCTTTCTCTGTYACTTTTGGAGACTCTGGCCCTGCTYTGCTAAATCCTTTGTGCCATGCAGGTCCTGCTTACACACCTCCCACCTTTGTCCTTCCCTTGCTGAGATCCCGGAGTGCCGCCCCATACAGCTGCTCTGCAGCCGCTTCCAGCCCGAAGGCTGCTGCAGCTCCTCCCGGCCTCGCACCACCTCCCTCGAAAGCGACCCCTCAGCCTCCCACTGACCCCGGCAGTCTTGTTTCTGGCTCGGCCTACTCCGCAGACAATAAAGATCAGCTGTATTTGCAACGATTACATTTAGGAATGACACTGCGGTCACCGCAAATCCCTTTCCCACAAGTTTTCCSGGTCGCGGTCCTCCGTCACGTGCACAAGTGCCCGGGCCACGTGGGACGCGGAGGGCACGCGCCAMCGCCCGCCCATTCCCCCCGCCCACAAGGGAGATTGACAGTGAAATCAACCAATCAAAGACACGKCTCTGCCTTTCCCCATCCCCAGCCTACGGTTGCTGTGTCATCCGGCGGGTGACATCGGGGGTCGGGCGCCGGTTGGCTGCGCAGGCGTCGGGTTTCGGCCAATGAGCTTCGCTAACTGCGAGACTGACATCTCCCCTGCCCAATAATTGTCCCACGTGCACCTGGAGGGGCGGGGGATGCGCAGATATCGCTGGGGTCGGTAGGCGGTGTGGCGTTGGTGCCGTGTCGAGGCGCCGCTAAGCGGCCACAGCCGCGGCCATACCTTTTATCGCCTGTACCTGTCATGGCGCCCCGCCCGTGCGACCTGCAAATGAGTGCACACAGTGACGTAACCTCGCCCTTCGGCTGACCACGGTCCCAGGGGCTGCCGAGGAGCGCGGCTCGGTGGGCGGGTCTCTGCGCTGTTATGGTGTAACAGGCACATTCCATCTCCAATGGAGGCGGAGGRTGCGACCCCCAGCCCAATCCGTAGGGCGGAAGGGCGGGACAAGTAGGGGCGGGCGAGCGAGTGCCCCATTTAAGGGGCAAACCTCGCAGCCAACTGGCAGAGGAACGAGGGGCGGGAGCCAGCGAGGGATGTAAAGAGAGGGCAATGCTAACCGGTGACAGGCAGCAAAGACAGCCAATCRGTGAGCGTGTAGTGACGCGATAAACCAATCAAAAGCGCTGAGAGGCGGTGCTCTGCTGTGATTGACGTGAGCCATGGCTAATGGGCGGAGAGATCCTCGAGATTCTTCCCAATGGGCAACGTGAAGGGGCAGAAAGGGGAGCGGAGGAAGAAGACGAGCAGGCAGAGTGACCAATCAGCGCGAGGATCGGCGGGGCGCCGTCCAATGGGCGGTGCGAGGGGCGGTGCGGGGGCGTGTCCCCGTGTGTTTGGGTTCGTGCTCCTCGGGGGAGGGAGAGACGACGGCGAGGAAAGTTTGGTTTTGGCTTTTTTTTCCCCCCCCAGTGGTGTTTTTTTGGCGGGGCCGGCGGAGAGGGGGGAGACGCTTTTCGCAGCTTCTTCGCCTTTTGCTTCCTGGGGTTCGTGTTTCCCGGGCGGGCGGAGCCGCCYCCGGCACTGAGAAGAACGGGGGCTCAGCGCACCGCGGCAGCGCCTCGGCGGTGAGTACGGGACGGGCCCCCCACCTCTCGCCCATCCCCGCTCCCAGCCCCCGCCGCGGCACTCCGGCCAGAGCCCTTCCCGCCTTGCGGACCCTCGCGCTGCCTCTGAGGGGCCTCTGGCGCCGGGCCGCGGTGCCGCGGGGCGGGGGAGGGACGGGGGGGCCGGGCCGGCGGGAGGGGCCCCGAGCGGCGGCGGCGGCGGCTCAAGGGCGCTGCCCCGGCGGCAGCAGAGCGGCCGCTGYTCCCGCCCCGACCCCGCCGAGTGCCTGTCCTGGGGCACAGCCGGGCGAACGCCGCCCCCTCCTCGTCTCACGTGTGGCCGCTGTTCGCTGCGGCTGCGCCCCGGTGCCCCCCGCCGCCCCCTCCGGCTCCGCACAGGGCCCCGAGGAAGAGCCGCCCGCCTGCCGGATCACCCAGGCCGGGCAGGACGTACAGCGGCGGAAGGACCCCCAGGAGCCCCTGTGTGGATGGGGAGAAAAAGTGCTGTAGTGTGGGGACAGAGCCGAGGTTGCGTTGGTAGCACTGCAAACCACGCTGGATGAGTGGAATGCGATGCTGGTTAAAACGTGTGTGTTATATATGTGATGGGTTGGTGGGAAGAGTGACCGTCTTCAGAGGTGTATCCCAGGCGGAAAAAAAAAAGTTTCCCCAGCTGTTTGTAACAAAATKAGGGAATGTTTGTTTCTGGAGTCGCCTCGCTGGCTGTGGATAAGCGCTGCTTGCAGCGTGGTATCTTGCAAGCTCAGATCTGCTTCATGAAAGTGCATGTAGGAGGATCTACTACAGCATACAGCTGAGGCTTGTTGACTAAACCGAAGTCTCAACAAAGTGTTTTCCTAGCTACAGTAGAGATGCTTACTGCTGTAAACAGTACTTGGTTTTTCCATGGTAACATTTCACTAACCTCATGAATATTTGTTAAGATATCTCTTTTTAAAGTAAGGGTTTTTTAAAAAAACCCATTAATTAGTATTTTTTTAATAATGATTTACTAGAGTTCAGTATCACATTTACAGTGTCTACAAAAACTGTGAGTCTTCTTGCAAAATAGTATGTAGGTCTTTGGCGGTTGTATAGCTCCGTATTTGAAGGGTATCTTTTTTACCTAGTGTTTTCCATGTGAATAGATTTTGGAAATTAGTTCCTGCTACAAGTGTTGTRCAGGTGATAGCTTTGACTCGTAGGGTTATTAAATACGTGCACAAGTTCAAGCAGCTTTKTAGTTTGTCCTCACCGAAGTTGCTCAGCGATGCCCTCCTCTCCTGTAGTGACTCTCTAATGGTTCAGATTCCTTAGAATGCACGCTGTTGAGTGAATGTTCTTATTTGCTGCATTWCCCAAGGCCCCGAGTTAAAAGATAAGCTCCAGTTTTATCACATGAACCATGGTTAATGCAGGGTCTGCTAGGGAGATGTACCTCGGGGRAGGGGTTTGCAGAGGTGACTTCTCACCTGAGTTCAACTGAGTTGCAGGTGTAACTTGGCAATTAAGAAGCGAAGAAATTGTCCTGCAAAAAGTTGAGCCTGGTGATGGGGGAAGGGAGCCCAGASAGGTGTTAGCTGTGTGTTAGATTTTCTGCTGTGAGGTTTTGGAGCAGTAAAGTGAAGGTACATCTGCCTTTTTAGAGAGTAGGTGAGGTCATCATTATATGTTGACTTTTATGTTGTTTAGCTATATTGCATGYAAACGTTTTGTTAATACATCATTCTGTGTGAAACCATGTATATGCAGGGAATTGAGCTCGGAAGTTTCAGTGCTAATTGGCAAAATGTTACTGGGATGCTTAAAGGGAATCACTTAAATCCTGTAATATGGAAATCATGGAAAAAAATGTAATTATAAACCTCTTGATTAGGTAAAGTTTTGAATGAATGTATTACTGCAGTTTCTGTATACCTGCAAATTTAGCTAGAGATCTACACTTYCATTTGAATAATAAGTTCAGATGTTCAGAAATGAAAACCTTGACAAAGCCTAATCTGCCAGAGTTTGTCAGTGAATAATCCAGTAAAACATTTAGGTGAAGTGTGTGTCATGGCTTTGCTTGGTGATGCATATTTCATCATCAAAACTTCTTGTGGGAGGATGACTTCAGWAGAGGAAGCTTCAGGAGAAACTTTCTGTAGCTCTGAGGTAGCGTATTTTACCTTAGATCTGCCTCCTGTCATGGCAAGTAAGAAATTAGAAATTAGTTTTTTGCAGAAGTAATGCATAATAAAAATCATATATAGAGACAGCTGCATCTAGAACAATGGGATGAATAGCTCCAGCCAGAATGATGGAAGGAATAGAAGGACTGGTATAGAACCAGTAATTTGAAAATATTTTCAAATGGGGTTTGTTCCCTTGTTTTTTTGAGTAATTTTTTCCTTTTTTTTTTTCCTCTCCAGTAAAGCTGTTGTATTTCTGCTCACAGACAAGATTGGCTTTACAATTAAGCAGTATGAACTGGAGATCATAGAATAARTCTAAGAAGCTTAGTTATTGACTTGAATGAGTTTATTAGTAGTCTGCTTAATGGTTTGGTTACCTTATTCTCCATTTTTCTGCAGAATGCTTGGATGCAGGGTCTCTTCTAGTCACTGATTGCCATTCTTGTGTTTATTTTCTTGGAAATCTTTTTATACATAGATATTTTCTGCTTTGTGTAGTAATAACAGTTAACAGTCATTTTCCAGTTTCTTTGCAATGGCTTTCTTCAGTAATTGCTTAGTGCTGCAATTAGATCCACAAATTCTAGAATGMTTCTATTTACAGCATACCTTGCATTTTACAGCTATTCACTTCTTTATCATTAGTTTTTATTTTTCATTAAGCTTTTACCTGTGTGGAATCTGGGTCAGTATATGTGTTTTTGTGAAGAACTGGCATTGTTTGTTTTCACAGGATAAATTAAGCATGTTTAGCCTATAGATAAAGGAGGGAAATACCTGATACTAGCACATTTTTACCAGTAGTTTTCTTCAAAGTTAGAGGTTTTCTGTCACCTCAGTGCTTATAAAATGTGTTTTCTCTGAAACTTCTTTTAATGATTTGTTTCTTGCATTTTCAGGAATTTTAATCATGCAATGTTTCACTGTCTTAGGGAAAGAATACCAAGAGAATGTCAGTCTTCAGTTCTAATTGGAATAAACTAGCACGGCAATGTTGWGTAAACAGTAACCTGTATTTCTAATAGTTTGACCAGTTGTGGTASAGAAAGACGTGTATTCTTGTAAACAGTTTTCCTCAGTTTAGGATTTACTGTCTTTCTCCGTTTTTAGATAAAAYGTGTATGCTAAGGTTGCTTGTTCTTTCAGCAAACAGTGTGTGTAATATGGACTGAAGAATTCATGTTCATTTATTGTGAACCCAGGCTAAACTTTTGGCTACTATCTGCTAATAAAAATAGGGGTGCTTTTTGGTACTTGAGCCAGCTGTCACTGTCACACAAGTAGTTGCCTGCTGGTATTTCTGYTTGCGAGGTGACCAGGGTGAGAGTAATCAGGATATTCTGATTGCTGTTCCCTSTCCATTTCTGCGGATAGCAAAACTCCTATATTTCCTTATATTTCTCTTCTGTTCATGTGTTCTTTGTGTTGTACTTCTACTCATTATTTTTTTATTTGCTCAGGGAAGTAAACATACTTTGCTGCAAGGCGTTGGTGTCACTTATTTCTTTTCTCCTTTAGAGCAGTAGGCAGTGAGGATGTTAAATTTATTTTTTCCCTTTGCCTTCATAGAGCGGTTAGAGGGAGAGGGTGTTTTGGGGCTTATTATGGTTTTCACCGTGTTGTAGGGGAATGTTCTGAGGTTTTTAAGTTTTCATCAGTGTAAGGGTTGTGGTTGGAGTTTGGATGTTCTCCGTGTTTACCATGTAGTGAGCTATGGAGATGACCTTTTCCAGTTTCAGCCAGTCAGTACAGATTGCGTTTCTGGGCCCTGCCAGCTTTAGTAGTTCTGAAATTGGATATMGTGCATGTATTTCCTGATTTAATGTCTGTGGATTAGAAAAAAACACAATAGTTCCTCTGTGAGAGAATCTGGGAAGCAAGTTAGTGTTCTGAGACTTGCACTGTTTAAAATTTTCTAAATATCTACTTAAAAGAGTAAAATGGATCTGAAAGCAGCTCTTAGCCAGTTTAGCTTTTAAGTCTGTGGAACAACGTCCTGCTTTTGCTGGGAGAAATGGGGGGTACGATAAGGCAGCAATTGTGCTGTAGAACACTGGTCAGCATAAATGTGTAAAATATAACCTGGAAGTTGATACATTGTGATCCTGTTGGAAGATGGGAGGCTGGAAAGCTAATTAGCGGATGAAAGGATAAGAAGCAAAGTTGCAAAACAAAGAGTTGATAATTTTAGATAGCCTGGCAGAGGATTAGTCAAAAGGTGATACAATAATATCATGTTGCTTGTGTGAGGGGAAGTCCTCTGATCCATCTAAATGAGTAATGAAGTAAAAGTCATTGATGTTTTCACTTGCATTTAATTTCTATAGTTTTATCATGACTCTTTGCAGTGTCATAAAAAGTGCTATAACAAAAAACATATTGACAAGTTTTTTTTGGTAATATATTGGGTTTTTCATTAGTAAATTCTGTTCTGTAAWAGGAGAAATTTATGCCCTTTGATTTGGGTAGTAGTCAACAAAGAACAGTTTTTGTGAATACTGTTGGCTTTCTTCTGCCAAGTCTGAAGATTTTGGATTCTAGATTCTATTTTGCTTGTTGGAAATGCTTCTTCCTGTTCCTCTGATCATCTTGTATCCAGGGTTGCAGGGGTTTTTTTCCTACTTGAGTCCCTCTTATTGTCTTACCACAAATATTGGTTGTACCTGCCGTTCTCTAGTGTGTTGTTCATGTGGCAAAAGTAGACTTTATGAGAAAGTTTCACCAGTTAAATGAAATGTATGRTTTTAAATCCRGAAGTGAAGTGTTTGGAGAGCTGTTTGCTGGCCTTGATTTAGGACTTGTCCAATAGGTCTCCACATGATTAGAGCTGAGAAACTCCTGGGCTGC